ATTTTGTTATGTGTTGGGGGTGTTTAACAAACAAAGGATGAAAACAAATGGCTTACAGAAAGCTGCAAGAAATCAATCAAAGACCATACTATTAAATCACTGTACATATTGATCGTTAGTTATTTACAAATAAATAAATATTAAGGTACAAAATCTTAGTGGCCACTAAACTATTGATCAGATTATATTTTGGCTATCAAACTATTTTTTGTTAGTAATTGACCATTAAACAATTTAATTAGTAAATTTGTAATCATTTAGTCGATAATTGCTCAGTAAGTGTATAATTAAATCAACAAAAATCAAGAAATAAATTAAACATTATATATATACCCAGGTAATATATAGATAAGAACGAATATGTAGAGACAAGAAGCAAGAAACAAAAACATGGTATACCTAATAGAAAAGATAAAGAAGAAATAGTGTATATATATTCAAAAACAACATGATAGATATTCACGTGACCAATGACTAAGTACCATATCAAACAAAACATCACACCAGTAACTCAATTATTTCATTTCTAAGCAGAAAAAAGCAATTATATGTAGCTGTGCATTATGTGCCATATGTACCGTTGATGATTGCATCATTTGTAATATAGTGACAAAAATCAAAGAAATAACAATAAAAATATTCAATAGACAAAATATCAAATATATATGAACAAATTCCCAAAGAGAACAACTAAAATATTGATGAGAAGGTCATTTTACTATTCAAAAATATTGAAAACAAATATGCCAAAAAAATGAGGAAGTACAACTATAAAACGAGCTTTAACCCTTACATTGTTCGTTCATCAAAGTTTTCCTACGGTAGTATGGACGCCATTCTATCAGGTATGTTCTTGTCTAAGTTCTTACTCTTTCAATAACAATCTATATATAAGACTACACTAAATAGAAAAAATTCTATTATACTTACTGAAAACCTGATCATCCACAGATACCGCTTCGTCGACAAGACATCAGATTCAAGACCCAGCTCTAAAATTATGCTTTGTAATACGGCAGAACAGCACGTTGAATACGGTACTCATTCAACCCATATTCATAATTTTTTTTGTGAGAAATGTTTGACATAAGTATATGACTTTATGATATTTACAGAAAATTCCAACGTCGTTCTTTAACGCCAGTCAACAACAAATTCAAACAACAATATTTCTGAAGCATGGACATAGGGAATGGCAAATCCAACTACAGGGATGAGATTTTACAGTTGGGTGGAAAGCATATCTAATGGATAATAATATACAAAACTATTATCTAATTTTATTTTTATTTGATAGACAAAACATTTTTGACACAATAATATTTAATGAACACCAATTCCAAGATTATTTACCATGGACAACTCCTTTCTCAACAACAAACACGAATCCATCTCCTGTGAACGGAGGTAAGACCATCTTTGTCTATAAAACTATGAACTGTTTTCATAATTAAATGTTTGCTAACAATTTTATCCATCCATCCATTTCAGACCCAGCTGAACGTCGAGCACTACATAGAACCTATTTCTCATCATTAAGCCCAAACTTTCACCAAAATATTGACAAAAAACATAGCTTTTTACCATGTATACTCCACCAACGACAGACTTCAATTGGTAACTTTGCCATTTTTTACTACATTCATAATATAGAATCTTTCACAACATAAAACACATCATATACATTAAGACTATTTCCCAATTTTTTTGCAAAAAATCCCCAAACTCTTGAGACAAGGAATAAATCCAGAACGGACACCAGTTCTTAAGCTCACTACAGGCTGCAAAACAATTTCAATGACCATAGAAGGGAAATATATCACAGACAACTGGAATGTCTTTACCGAGGAACATGATATCAAACCAAGCCACACTATTGTATTTCTTGCCACTGCAAAAGCTGAATATACAGCTTTGATATTAAAAAACACCAACGTAGAAAGAATATATCCTTGGTACCACTGTCATTATACTTGAATAACTACAAAATTCAGATATGTATTCACCTATAATAGGTGAATAGACAGAGCTGTTGGTATAATAGGTCATGGATCTATATATGTTCGCAGAACTTGTAGGCAGAGAGGTGAAGAAATCTAGAACATATTGTACCAAAAGATATGCTGTGGTATTAACAGAGATTGTGCACTGTTGGTTTAAAGGAGTCATTTTTATACGACATTAGATTCTTAACGATGCTTAGAAAAGTTGCAGTTAGAGATACAAAAGAGCTGGAACAGATTGTACCAAAAGATATGGTCTAAAGGTATTAACAGAGATTATGCAACGTTGGTTCAAAAGAGCTATTTTTTAGATGGCATTACATTGTTAACCTTGTTTTGGCTGTTTGCTATCTTTTTTAGGTTCCAGTTGTAGCTTGCGTTTAGCAGAAGATGTTGGTGTGCATGTGGTGTCTGTGGTAGTGATTTCAGAATCTCTCAGCTCTGAAGTTGGTGTTGGTTCTGTCTTGTTGCTTGGAGTTTAAGCAGATTGTTTTTCAGATGTCAAATATGTGATGGATGGACTTGTGACAATGCCGATGGATGATTCTTCATGTGGGTTAGCTTCAATTGCAGCGAGAGGTTGTTGGGAGACAGCAGCATATGAGGAGAGGAAGAAGCTTGGCAATCCCTGTGGAGTGGAACGGTTGGAGCTGGTCCTTATTTGGCAGTAGACAGGTTCTGAAAAAAGTCTATCATTGATTATTTGAATTGGAATTGCTTGTCCCTGTTGAGGAGAATAAGAAAAGAGAGTTTTTTGGATTATTGTATATATTTCTGAAGTACTGTAAAAATTTGCTTGTGTAACTTAGTGATTCTCACAGATGATATTTGGTCATAGATTTGTCTTGCTGTGAGCCCAATTATGTTCTCAGCGTAATTGTTTTGGACAAATGCATCCAAATGAGCTGAATCATCAGATATTTGGACAAATAGTCTGGCCCTATGTAAGAGAATTTTCGAGTGTGTTAGGGATGAGAAGTAATATACTAATGTAGACGGAGATGTATAATAGGAAAATGATATGTTAATATATGAAAATGGATAATTGTAGATTTGTGTGTTTACAGAAACATTTTTAGACGGATAGATAGATATATGTATATATAGATGTAGATATATATATATATATATATATGTTAATATGATAAATAAGAGGTCTTTTTTGCTATGAATGGGATAATGACTTACTTGGGGATAGGTTTTGTTTGACTCTTGTTACAATTGTGGCATGAGAATTCAAATTCCATAGGTGCATTGGTGGTGCAACCACAGTCGGCACAGCTAGCAATATAGAAGTGTTGCCGAGAATTTGTAATCTGGATTGTTCCTTTTATCCAGAAATCTTTTGGCTGGTCATATATAATTTAAAATGAGTTTGATACATATCTATAATGGTACCATTTAAATATAAAGCAAACTTGATGTCTGGAGTTAAGTTAGTGTATTAGCTTACCAGAATGTATGCACCAAGAATTTGTGAGATCTGTCAAATATCTTTTTCAGGCGGTGGCTTGATCTTTTGGTTTGCTTTTTCGTATAGTTTTTGTGCTTTTATATTGTCAATGTAGTTCTTGTTTTCTTCAATCCTGTAGCAAGCAGTGGTAATAATAGCAGTGTATTTACTGATTTGTATTATTGAGTCATGGTTATATAGAAATGTAAGTAATAGAGAAGCAAGTTTGAATGTGAAAGCGTGCATACCATCCTGCCAAGTGATCTGTGGAAATGAAGGATCAAGGAGTATATTTGTACTTCCTTTGGTCCTCAGAGAGATACCTGTAACAATATCAAAGCTGTGTTAGAATTTTTGGTTTGTAGGCTTTGTAATATAGATAGAAATGGTTCTGTTCTACAAAATATACCATAAAAGGTGGTTACTATAGGTCTGAGAATGACAACAATTGGGTAGGTATGTGCAATTTGAAGAAGTTGAGCTCCTTCATTATCAACAAAAGGTTCCCAGAGTGTGAGGATAAGTGGATGCTGTCTATGAAAGTTAGAGAAATACAATGAAAGTTTAAATCATTTGCTATTGATGAATAGGTAAGATAAAGTGTACAAAATCTCGTTTTGCTTACTCTTCATTGACAACAATGAACTCTTGGATAACTGATGGCTTGGCTCCACCAATCATTCTTTGAGGTAATGCTTGAATGACAATACACATGATATCTGTTGAATGGTTAGTATTAATAAAAGTGGAAACATGACATAAACTAATGATTTATATAAAATAAATTTAAGGAGGAGTGTGTTGTGTACTGAGTCTTTGGTTATCTTTGCCTTGATATTGGTCTAGGTCCCAGAATGAAGTGAGTGAAAAATACATTGGCAATGACATTGGTAAAGGACTTGCAACTGGTTGTATGAAGGACCTTTTGTCAAAGGTTAGCTGAAGAGGTGTTGTACCCATTTGGTGGCGGGAATCTTGAATTTTGCTAATATATGCACCACCGAAGTAGTATGATGCCTGGTGCTTGAATATTTCGCCAATGAAAGCCAGGTATTGTTGATAAATGATGCCCTGAACCGTGTCATTCTGTGAAATATAAATTGTAGGTTACAGGATTATAGATAGATAATGGAACATAATGTTGTTGTATAAGTTATAGGAAAGTTAAGTATTGGTTTATTGTATATGTTATAGATATATATGTACCTGATCATCTGCAAATAAGAGCCATCGGTATGCCTTTGTTCTTGGAGTTGGGTCAAAGATTCTTGTCACCTCTATTACATAAAGTTTGGCAAACCATTGGCGCTGTTTCTCCTGGAAGTCTATTATTAAAATACATCTGCTATCCATGACTACAAGGAAGAGCGTGGCAGTAACAATATTATTGAGAAAAGAAAATGCTACTGTGAATGAAATGGGATCTAAAATGTTAATATAAAACACATAATTTAAGAGAGGATAATCATATTTGTGTATTATAAGGAGCAAGTGAATAAAGCTGAAGTTAGATGTTAATGATAGAAGCTAAAGAGAGACAGTGCTTAGATAACACCAGCAATTGATAGGACTTCATTGTATACTATATTTCTTGTAGAAACTATGTCAGTCTGCTCATCTGGAGAGGGCTTAACTAAAACTCTAACATCATTTGCTGTTTTAGCTCTAGATAAAGCAACATACAACTGACCATGACCAAATACTGGCTCCTTTAAGTACAAGCCGACGAAGTCGAGTGTTTGTCCTTGTGCTTTATTAATAGTCATGGCAAAACAAAGTCTAACTGAAAGTTGTGTTTTCTTGAAGGGTACTATGTAAATGTTACTGTCAGAACATTGTAATGAGATTTTTGGGATAAAGACTTGTTTTTCAATATGATTTCTGACAGCAATGAGTGCATGGATAACATTGGGAGCAAAACCAAGACAAATTAGTCGTGTTCCGTAACATAAACCTTCTTTTGGGTTCAAGTTTCTAAGTAATACAATAGGACTATTGACTTTTAGAATGAGTTCATGTGGTGGCAGGCTTGGAGGTTCTAATGAATGTAAAAAGTCCTTGTGTTCTGCTTGTTTGGATTGGTCTATAGTTTCATCATAACTTACATATTTGTGTTCTGTACCAGGAAACTTTGTGATCAGGAGGTTGTTTATCTCGTGCACAAATTCATTTTTAGTAGTTAGTATAGCTCTGTTAAGTATATGCAATGAGTGTGTACCAAATGCTATGAGGTCAGGAAAGACACTGGTGATTAGAACAGAAAGTGAAGATTGATCATCAACAAAAGGTATTGTAAGATAGTGTCGCAATGTTATTCTGGAGTCATCAAAGCAAGGCAAAGTTCCATTACCAAGACTCAAAAGAAAATCTGAAAATGGTTTATCTAAATGTGCATGCATGTTTTCAACCAGGCGGAGTTTTTCAAGATGGTTTCAAACATAAGATTTTACCAAGCTGGCAGAAATGTAATCTTCTTTGTACCCTTTGATGACAATAGGTAATGTCTGGCGGAAGTCACCACCAAATACGATAACCTTGCCACCAAATACTGTATCTGAGTTCATTATATCCCTTAGTAGCTTCTCAAAGCACTCAATAGCATATTTTTTGGCCATTGTTGCTTCGTCCCAGATGATGAGTTTGGCTTGCTTGATCAATCTTGCACTGCTACTTTGTTTGTTAACATTACAGCCACTGTCATTGTCCTCATGAATTGGAATCTTAAATCGAGAGTGAGCTGTACGTCTTCCTGGAAGAATGGAAGCAGCAACGCCGCATGATGCTGTGGCTAATGCAATTTGGCCTTTAGACCTCACAGTTGTTAATAAAGTCTTTGATAAGAATGTTTTGCCTGTTCCTCCTGACCCATCTATAAAAAAAGCTCCTGCTATGTTGTTGTCAATTCTATTGATGATTTTATTATAAGCAGATTGTTGATGATCATTAAGAAGAGCAACTGATGCTATGTCTTCAGCAAAAACTTTGATGTCGAGCTCGGCCCCTATTTCTTGTGTGTCTCTTTGAATGGAAAAGGCATCAGTGTCAGGGACAGCTATGTTGAAATCAGCAAGATGTTTGCCCATATATTGCAGGTGAGAGTCAATAAGCTGGAGAACTTTTAGTTTTGTCTGCTCAGGTGATAAAGACTTGTCTCTAGAAATATTTTCAGACAGGTATGGTTCAAATTTCTGCCATAGCAACATTGGATTAGGAGGTAGTACATGGACCATAATGAGAGCGAACAAGTGACGGAGAGTAGAAGGCATCTGGAATGATACAGCTTCAAGTAAACATTGTTCTGCCCTATCATCAGTCTTTAATAAGCCTAGAATTTCTGCAGCTTCTCTGAAAGTTGAAGCTGTTCTTGAACCAATGTGTTTTAGACTTTCATAAGACATAGGCCATTTGACATGCATTAGTAACATCCGTAAGTAGTACTTTTTACCTTGAGTTGGATGCACTGCAGTTAGTCTTCCAATTGTGCTTCTTTTTTGTCTCGGTTCCCATATTTTGTGAGTTGCATTCCATACAAAATGCTGAGAAAATTCTTTATAAAGACATTTTAAGGCTTGTGCACGTGCATCTAAACTGTTCATCCGAAAAAATTCTGTTAGCATAGTTCGTGACATTCGTTCATCCACTGCAAGTCTCTCCAGAATATCATCCTCATTGAAAACCATTGACTGTTCTCCTTCTAAATGTATCTGTAGTGCCATGACAGATGGATTCAAGTTACTGAGGTCGAAAACAAATATTCGCCATGTTGCTTCTGGTGCACATATCCAACGTCCAGATTGAAAGTTTTTTATTTCGTCAATTGCTCCATCATTCTCTGCTGCATTGAGCTGATACAGGATCTTTGAGTGTCCTTTGTAGATATATTTGTAAATATATTTAACAGCTTCAATTGTGGAACAAACTTCAACATTGTTGTGGTAATCATACTTGGCAAGTAAGTATGGATTGTAGGGAACAACCCAACGATTGTCAATCTGGAAGTGACGAGCTGTGACAGTGTTTCCATCATGACGGCGCATGTAAAGAGGATACGAATCCTTATTATGTCTCGTGAATTCAGCAAACTCCTTTGGATAGGCAAATCTGCATTTTCCATTTTGCTTCATACATGGGCTGTTTTTATTAGCTGTTCCACATGGTCCATGCAATATATGAGCAACCATAACAGAATGGAGGTAAGGGAAAGGATCTGGATCCGGTAATTCTGTAGATGTAACTCGATCATAAGCTTCAGGTGAGTTTAATTTGCATCTATTTGCAAGGATTATCAAAAAATGTGCGTGTGGGAGGCCTCTTTTCTGGAATTCTATAACATACATGTATCTGCTACTTTGCCAAAAAGCCCTTTTTTGATAATATCATTTTTGAGCATCTCTAGTTTGGCACGAAATACTCTTGATGTTACATCAGGTCTGTTGTGTGCTTCTTCGCCATCAGACAGATGCTTCTTGATCTCAGGCCAAGCTGGATTACAGGTCATTGTTAAGAATATGTCAGGTTTTCCATACTTTTGAACCAGCGTCATGGCATCCATGTATCTTAGTTTCATATCTCGAGGACCTCCAATAAAAGAAGCAGGCAAATATATTCGTTTACCAACGTTTGATATAGAGGTTTCTCCATTTGAAATGCTGTCTAAAATTCCTTAGTAAACATCTGTTCTGATCTGTCGTTGCCTATTTCGATTAAAACCCAGCTTGCTAATTCTATCTTGACATATGTATCGATACAGAATTGCTGGAAGAGTCTCCCACAGTGCAGTATTAAGGATTTGTCAATTTGGCGCATTTGAAACTTGTAGCAATAGTAGTCACGACAAGAGACAGTGCTCCTTTTTTTCTGCAAAATTGGTGCAAGACAATGAAGTTGGCAAAAGGTATGATAGACTATGTGGATGAGAAAAAGATAGTAGTAAGGACTATACATAAGACATATCATATTTTATTAATTACCTGCATTCTCAGCTGAAATTATTTCCTCTGCAGAAGAATAATGGCCTATATGGATATCATGGCCCTGACATGTCATGGAATCTTGTACAGACTGTTGATTTTTAAAAATTCTTTGTATACCTTCATGCCATCCAGTCTCACCTCTTGCAAAAATTAAGGGATACTGTAACGTGTCATAACATCCAAAATAGTGTTTAATGATTTGTGGTCTACCACTCCTTGGATAGACCTGTATATGCTGAGAGGAATCTTCTATATTAAGGTCATTTTCTGTCCATATGGCAGCCACTTGAGAGACTGTTGGAGTATTATACACACACTGGTCTAGAGAAGGGTGCAAGTTTAAGAAAACTTTATGGTTATAAATGTCTTCAAAGCTTCTTAAACTGCGAAAAAATGCTGCGTATGGATTGTGATCCAGAATTTGCTGCAGCTATTCTAGAATAGTTTCTTGAAATTTATTAGAAATGGCCATCTGATTCGCAATTTCATGCTCAGTATCAAAATAGTATAACTATACATTTGATGGTTTGTGGCCGTCCATTGGAACCAGGGGATTGAGAAAATGGTACATTTGGCACTGTACTCTGAATGCATAGATTCCTCTGTCTCTCTTATTCAACTCTTTATCAGAATGAACTCCCAGAGACGTGAATGCGAACATATTGTTATAGCTTCTAATACATTGGTGAAATTCGATTGCTTCAGGAGTATTAGCAGTGTACAGTTTTGCTAACTGAGCTGGCATCTCTGTCTCAACTAATCGAATTTCACCGGAAGCACAGCAAAAACCAGGTGGCTCATGGTAGAAACGTTTAGCACCACAAAAAACACAATCTTGGACAACAGGTAAAACAGAGGGTTGAGTAGGAATCCTATCAATCCATTGTTTTTTTTTTTTGACCTTTTGCTGATGACCTAAGAATGGGAGACTGTTCAATTACATGTTGTAGATATAGATACATTTATTGAGTATCTTAGGCAATAGATAGAGTTTTCATATATACCAGCATTTTGTTTTGGCATGTTGCTGGTCATTTGAGAGCTAGGAAAGACTATTTGTTGTTGAACTGGATGTAAAATGTAAAAGATGGACGAATGTATTTAGGAAAATTTGCACGAAACAAATATTCAATAGTGGGAGAAGTTATAGCAGTGATAAAGGTATAAATACCTCCATTAGTCGGTCCATTTATAACATCACAGCAGACATGGTTGTTAGAAGATGAACAGGCTGCATTATTGATGGACAAAGATTCTTAGACAAGACATCAATATATATTTTTTAAAGAAAATTGGTGTACTGAATGCTTTGTTAGATGGAGTATATATGGACGACTAAACGAAGTGTCTTACTTGCTGAAGGTATGTCAGATGTTTTGAGGACATGTTCGGATAGCATAGGAAGCGATAGGCTTATGTTTTCTGAAGCATCAGACAGTTGATTCTCAGAAAGTAGAGATACTGGAGTCGAGGATACAATATTGTTGCTTTCAAGTTTAGCTGGATTTTTAGTGTGAACCATTGGGTCAAGCATAGACGCCTTAGCTTCCCTACGACGATGATTCTTGTGTAGACACATTTCTTCATACGAAGTATATTTTCATTTTCGCGGCATGGTCACAAACAAACTATAGGAAAGCTATAAAATGAATAAAAATAATAGTTGCTATAACTGGATAATAAAAAATATGAAACAGAAGGATGATTATATCGTTTTCACGTGTAAGTTACCAAAACATTATATACATTAGATAATGATTACATGCATAGCAAAAAAATAATAAGTAAAAGACGTTCGCATGATTCTTAAGAACGGAACTGGGCAGAAAAAGCAAACGTATCATGGAAGAGTTATGGGTAAGAGTCGTGTGCATACCAGTTACCGGCGCAAAGAACTGGTTCGGCTTCGCAACTTTGAGTGATCAGCAAAAAGTAATGGAAAGAAATTGGTTTCTCTTACTGACTTTTAACAGTTAGCAAAACGTTGTTGTTCGATGACCTGAGCAAAAAATACAAAGAATTATAAGGAAAAAAAAGATGATATGCAAAAGGCAGAAGTAAATGGCTAACACCTAGACAAATATGCAATAGATAGAATATTCTTTGCTGGAACCATGGGTAAGATGATGAAGATAAACATCTAGCGGAACTATAAAACATATAGTAAAGAACAAAAGAACAGCACCAAGATGGAAGTCATGGTGAGTGGAGGAGCAAAAACGAAGATGAACAGCAAGGAACACAGAGACGGCTACTGACTGGGTGGCTTTCAGAGAAGGAAAAAGAAACGAAGTGCAAACAGGAGTGGTAAAAAAAGAACACGTGGAAGTAAACATGTATAAACGGGAGGAAAAAAGCATGAGAGGAAAAAATTCAAAGGGCATGATGACAACTGTGGGATAGGAAAATTACCGGATAATTGGTAATAAAAAGTGGAGAAAACGTATATAGTGGGGTGAAAAAGGATAAATATAAGTGACTAAAAATGACTACTTGATAGACCGTCACTATCAGTAATTAATGAGCAACATGAAAGAGTGCGCAAGGAATCACCAATTCAGATTGTTGTACAAAGTTAAACAGTTGAGGGGAGGGTACGTGAAATACACACGTGCACAAATGTATCATAAGGGCAAAGACCTATATACGCACACTACAGTTATATTATAAAGATAAATATTACAAGAGAAATAGTCAACTTAACATTAGACAAGGGCAATAGAGTAAATAGATTCCATTTTTATATATGTGGATTGCATGGATGGAGCAGAAAGTTGGGAAGATGGAAACATTGAAGACTGCACGGTACAGGGTCATTAAAGTGCAATATCTTTGTTGGCCATTATAATTATAATATATAATTTCCGATTTCTGATTTCTGATCTGTGATTGTAATAACAGAAGCAATAGAAGGAGAAAACAAGCAACAACCTATTGCAAGGCATATGCGGTGGAAAGACCAAAATACCCCACGAACTCATGAGAATTATTACCGAAACTGGCCCATGGATGGACTGTAGCAAATGGGCGTTCCCCCTTTTATGGAGAAAACAAGCAACAACCTATTGCAAGGCATATACGGTGGAAAGACCAAAATAACCCACGAACTCATGAGAATTACCACCGAAACCGGCCCATGGATGGACTGTAGCAAATGGACGTTCCCCCTTTTATATATTTTAGATATGCATATATATATATATATATATATTCGTTAATAAATTTATCATTAATAAATTTTTTTTGCAGACTCAATGTCTTTTTTTGGAATTGTGTGATACATTCTAATTTTAGGTGTGATGCCTAAAGATTTCTAGAAGTGATTCTTAAAGTTACTAATCAGATTTTCATCTTCTTAACGAGAAAAAAGAAAAATAGAGAGTGATTTCAATCATGTAAAAAGGAAAAACAAACAAAATAAATGAAAGAATTACGTACGTTATTTAACCAGTAAAAGTAAATCAATGAAAGAGAGATTTTATTTCCTCCATTTTTGTCCACTTTTGACCTATCATTCCCTTTCTCTGCCTATCATTTTCTTTCCCTTTTTAAAAAAATGAATCAAACACAAAAAGCCAAAGGTACAAAATCCATAAATTAGACCGCACCTTAACTTGCTCGAACTAGATTGTGAGTAGATTCGCACTCATGGTTCAAGCCAATCACGTAAGACATGCGACTCCATTTGAACCGCAAATTACTTCTTGGCTCTTTCGATTGTTTTCACCAACATCAAGAATAAGTTGCCTCTTTAGAGGTGAATAATTGAAAGGAATTCGCGTAAATACTTTTCAAGTGTTTATAATCGGACTGATAGGGCATTATTTGTTTGCAATTTTATTATTAATTTCCCCTTTTGTTCGTATCAAATATTGTGTTAATTGTTGATATTTACTTATATTTGGTATCTGGACTTAATTCCAGGGAATGGAGCAGAAAACTACAAAAAGCAGGGACTTTTTGAAGCAAATTACTTCACAAGTGGGAGTCTCCTGCGAAGCTCCCTCAACGTGTCCCACAAGAGATCAAACAAACGGCTTCCCTTTTGAGCTGATGAAGAGAAGGCTGGTACAAGGAGTCCTAGGAACATTAGGAAACAAGGAGTAATTCGGCAGGCTTTTCTTATGAGTTTGTTTGACTCTCAATCTCGGCGGGGACCACGGGATAAGAGCATTTGGAGTCATCATTCCTTTTGGACTTTAAAATGAGAAAGAAACGTATAAGGCTTGTAAAATTGGAATTGGACTCTCAATTCGTGCGGGGACCACGGGATAAAGGAAAGCCTTGTGTCATGTATCCTTTTGGCTATATAAGGACAATAGTAAGAAAGGCTGAAGGGCGAGTTTTAGCTTAGTTTTTAGCATAGTTTTAGTTTTCTTTTTCTTTCTTGGCTCTTTTGATGGCCTGGACCTCAATGAAATTACTTGAAGATTTTCTCATGAGGCGTGGCTAAGTTTGTCTAGTCAAGAACAACGGAGGATTTGGTTCTACTAAATTTGTGAGATCGAATTAGTTTTTATTTATTTCCATTATTCACTGGTATTTGTCTATCTTCTGCTTTATGTTCATATGGTTGTTTTGTTATTCGATTATCCAGGGCCCGGATTCTAGATTAATTCAATAACCTGAAGCCAATTAGGGTAGTTAAATCCGTAATTGTTTAATTATCCTAAACTGGTGGCAACTGGCATGATTGGGTTTGTGTCAGGGAGATAGACAGGCTAACTTAAAGAGACCCTCGTAGCGTGTTGATTGGTTAGAATTAGGCTCTTCTAATTATTCATGCAATTAGGGAATTGAACTTCTATGGTCGTACCTAGGGTTATTTCCTGATTAGAGAAATAGTCAACGGTCGTACCTTGGCTATCGACAAATTGAGGAAGAGTTGGTTGTTTATCGCGTGTATGACAACTATAACTAATTTATCAGATTGTAATTGGAATAATCCTTGCATCTGTGATCGAATTAAGTGAACCATCTCCGAAGTTGTCTCTTGGCTAGAGTTCGTTCATTATTATTTTTATTGTGATAATTAGTTATTTGAGTTGTAGTTATTTTATTTTATTTTAATTCATTCCAATTAATTTAGTTACTCTCATTTTCAAAAACCCCCCATATCTGAAACTTGAGAAGAAATTAAATTTTCCCCAATCCCTGTGGATTCGACCCTGTTTACCGCTATATACAGAAATTATATTTTGTTTGAGTAGGTATTTATTATTGCACAGGTTCGGCACCTGTCAATTTTTGGCGCCGTTGCCGGGGACTGGTGTCAGATTAATTTGTTTCTTTTTGAGTTCACCTTGTTTTCATTTTTAATTTATTTCTCTTATTTTTTATTATATAGTTTATGGCTTCTAACACTCCGTATTTTGGTGATATACTGGATTTTGTTTTTGGGGAAGGCAATGAGATTGATTGTTTTTCTAAGTTTGCATACTTAGAGGCAATAAACTCTATTAAAAAAAGAATGGCTGCTGCAACCTGTGAAATTTGTTATGCCAGGGATCATTCAACCGGTATGTGCCCCGAATATCAAGATAATCTGAGTGTCCCATTCAATAATTATGGAGATTTTTCACCCTGGTCTCAAACGTGGTATAACGCTAATCCAAACGGGTATGATCAAGGATGGTGGGATAACTCCAGTTATGATTATACAACAGGGCCAATGAATTTTCAGCAGTATGAGTCTCAAGAATCATCATCTATGTCAGGTATGTCTCTTGAAGAGATAGTTGAATTAACATATCAAATTCAACAGGAGACACAAGTGAGCAGGCGTAACCTAGCAGATCAAATGGATCAATTGACATTTAGGATAACGTCATTGGCTTCTCGAATGAGTGAAGAATTGCCCTCACAAACTATTATCGACCATGAGGAAGATGAGAGTGCAATTATTCTGACAAATGACATGGTACTGCAAGAGTCTCAAGAAGAAGGAATCTAAAGATGCAGTTGAAAAGAAAGTTGAAGAGCAAAAATTGAGACCCCAACATCAAATGGTTCAAGTGAATGAATCCAGTGAACAATCTCCAAATGCGGTGACATCTCCTCCATTTCTTGATCAATATTTTCCTGACTCATATTCTTTAATTCCTGTTAGTGAGATTGATTTTATCATACCAGACGATTTTGAGTTTCATGACAGGAATAAGTTAAGAGCTACGATGGTCAAATATCTTGAACCGATAAAGGCGTGTGATGGAGGAGAGAGTGGAGAATGCAAATTATCGTTGACTTGTTTGGCGCCATTTACTAGTCCATGGAAGCCCGTAGCTCGTGTGCTCAAGAATTACTCTATTTACGAGGGTTATCAGGATTACATAGAAGATGAAGTACTGAAACGAGCCACAAGATTTTATCCTCCATGAATACACATGAAAATGTCTAGCCAAAGACATTAAAGAAAGGCGCTACTTGGGAGGCAACCCAAGACTATTTGTTTTAGTTTTCATGCATTTTTGAAGTTTTAGTTAAGTGTTAGTGTCAATTAATGGTTTGATGATTGGTGGCAGGAAATTAGCGGTTAGGCGTGCCCACGCCAGATGGTCACGCCTGAGGAAAAGAAATTTT